TTAAGAAAAGAAGTAAAATCAATACACAAATTAATTAACTACCTAAAGCTTGAGAATTGAAATTAACAGTTTAAATCTCACATTGCTTCATTTGTCCTGACGAATAATTTAATTACTCATTATAAAAAGAAGAAAAACACAAAAAACTATTGAAATATGTACATCGTCGGGTATATTGAAAAAAGGAGAAAAAGATGAATGTCTAGCACAAAGTATTTGTCTTTGTCACGCTAAAGTCTTGAAACCCTCTCCCTTATTTCTCTTTTCTCTCATCTAATTTGACCTACAATAGATCTTTATATATTGTCCAAACAATAATTCTAGTTATACAGAAATTTTTTGACAGAAGCCTTACAGAAGTTTTACATGGGAATAGGTTCCATGTGGAATAAAATAGTGCCAAAAAATGAGTTTTGTGTGGTTCGTAAAGTGTCTATATCTGTACATACAACACCTCTCTTGTCTAAATCAACTTGAAAACTGTGTGCACAGAAGGACTAAAATGCCCCCAACTAAAACAACAATTGAAAAATATAATTATCCGATCGGACTATGGGTCGACTGCAGTTTTTATACCATGAAACCTCGCTGTGGGTTCTTTTTGCATTTCCTGGCTTCAAGTTCCATGTATGGTTCTGGTCCTTTGCAGTCCAAGTCTTCAACTCCAGCAACGCCCAGTAGCTTCTACATTGGTTCCCGAATCTCCACGGTCATCCTCAAGTCTTATAAAGTGTACAAATGAGTCTCCAAACTTCTCATAAGTTGAATCTTACTCCCAAAACTTGTGGATTTTCTTCAATTGCTCTGTTAATGCTTTCCGCGCCATCAGATTTGTATTTCAATTAAACTCTAAATTTTTGTTTTTAATCCAGGTACCTTTAAATCTAGGATTTACCTATGATGATGACATCTACACTAAATTAAGTAGAAATTAGCTCATTTTGTGTGTGTGTGTGTGTGTGTGTGTGTTATTTATCAAATTTATAAATATACTTACAAAACACTTCAAAGTTAATCTCTTATTCGTCCTGAGCAAGATTATCTACTCAAATACACAAACAAATAAAAATAAAAATAAATTCATTACAGACATAGCTTTGCATAAACAATTCGTAAAAGACT